ATTACGTCATTGGTGTTACTGCTACACAAAACGCTTTTATTTTTGAAGTAATGTACTGTCTCTGAAGTGCCTCCTGTAACAAGAGATAATTTGAGGCAGTGCAGTGCAGTGCATAAGGAAAGTCAGATACTTCTTACTTTGTTTGTTAAAGGTGTCATTTTATCTTCAAATTTTACATGAGTCTTTCAAGTCTCTCATTAGTGTTACTCATTGCATAGCCCTAGGGGTGAACATTGGAATGGGAAAATGTATTGTATTGAAGAGTTAAACGATTTTGATATTGACTGAAGCCACATTGACACATTGCAGCCATTTTGTTAAAATGGTAGTGTTTTCTCCAAATTGTCACTGGTGTTACTCTTCTTCCTGGTAACACGTAACACCAGTGACATTCCTATACAAATAAACTTTGTATAAAGTATAAAAATAATAAAAATAATAAAAATACTTTAAGCTCTACTTGTTGTGGATTCATCAAGTTAAGAGTTAGTTATTGCTATTTAACAGGTTTTAGATGTTTTTAGAAGGAATATATTTCAGCAGATTTGTATCACCCAGATTCCACCTTTTCTGTAGAATGACCCGCCTACATTCTGACGAAAAATACAAATGATTATGAATACAAATAAAATAAAAATAAGCCTCCCGTGAGTTACTACAAGCTATAAAATAGATTTGACAAACGTTTTATATAATACAAAGCTCACTGCAGGACGTTGTAGAAATGCGTGTGTGCACCACGACCAAGGAGCCTCATTCACTTTACATTGGGGTTGTTTGCGTGGTGCCGACACGTACATGTAACAAAGTTAGTGACTCCACCACGCAATGTGGTGTTAAGGAGTCGTGGTGGAGTCACGCATTCTGGTGAGATCAGGTTGTCCGAAAAACGTAGACACCTTTATTATTATTATCTTAGAAACGTATGATATTTCCAAAAAAAGACAAGGCAAATAACAGTTTGACCGATTCAAATTCAATTGTTTTTTGAGGGGAGAATGTGTTTGATTGAAGCCTCAAACACGCTTTGAATTGCCCGGATGTTTATTTTCCCTTTTATTATCGCAAGCGTTTCAACAGTTCATTTTTTAATTTGATAAGAAGGAGTACTTTGCTCTAAAATACTAAAATGTGTGCGGCCTGCTATATCGATATATTGATTTAAATTATGATTAATAGTGTAATATTGTAGAATATAAAGCTACTAACACTCTTTGAGATACCGGTTATCAGTTAGCTGGAAATGTATTGAGAATTCACTTAATATAAGAAAGCCTGTCCTGCCGGGCAAATCAAAACAATTAATACAACAACAATTCGCTAAATGGGAATTTAAGTAACTGATCAAGTTTTGCTAAAATAATTCTCTGCTCGGATGTAATCCTCATTATAAACATTCATCCACACACTTTCCCTTTCCCTCTCACTCTCTCTCCCTCTTTCTTTCTCAAACACACACACACACACACACACACACACACACACACACACACACACACACACACACACACACACACACACACACACACACACACACACACACACACACACACAGAGTTGCGTGATCCAAAAAACAGTATTCTCGCCCTGTTGACATATGTGTGTTAAAATGTATCAGAAGAAAATAATGCAAGAGCTACTCAAAAAAAGGTGGAGGGTTGTTTATATTTGTGTCACCTAGTCTCATTATAGACGACCACTATCAAACTTTGTGCTGCTGATCTGCATCATGCCAAAGAAATGTTGTTATACTTTGTATAATGACAACACACATTATATTCTATTCTTCTATTCTAGTTTGATGGGGTTGAAATAATGGGAGGATAGATCATAATAACCACAAACATCTAATCTCATCAGTTCATCAGGTAATTCAAAACATGTGGCTTTGGATTTGTGTTGTATAAAGTGTTTGTGACTGTGTTATTAATATTACAGAGTCTTCCTAAGTCTGGACACATTCATTATCATTCATACTGAGTGTCAACATATTTCACTCCGGTGTTCCAAAATGAGTCCTGTCTCTGACAGAAAGAGATGACCAGAGAGCAGAAATGAAATAAGGGTGAAAGTCAAAGGATCTGCTTTGCTGATGTACAGAGCCAGAAGAGAGAGAAGGGGGAGGAAGGAGGAAGGCAGGGAGAGAGAGAGAGAGCCGAAGAGAGCAGAGGAGAGGAAATCAATACTGATTCAGAGTGAGTCAGATAAGCCTGAACAATGTATAGTGCAGACACACTCTATAACCCAGTCACACACACATATGTGGAAGCACTCACACAGAAACACACGCTCACAGACGCACACGCCGGGTGAAATGTGCTTGCATGCCTCCATAAAGGCGCATTACAAACCCCATAAAGCATTGCAACCTTTAAAATCAAATGACATAACAACCTTGGATTGCTTTGAGGATTCGCTGACATGAGCAGAAAGCACTCATTACTACGACTTGATAGGCAACTGGATGCTCTGATGCTCTTTGTCTACTGTAAGAGGCTCTTAAGCTCTGATCTTTTATGTTAGTGGTCAAACAGCAGCCTTCCTGATTTCACTGCAAATATTGCAGTTCTTTTGTTATAAATGCTCAGAGAGGCTTCCTTTTCCAGCCTCATAAATATGTGTTTTTTTAGCACTCGGAGTCCACACCATCCTTGGTGTCAGATCTCAGCTGTTGATATTCCATACAGGATGTTTTGGGATGTAAACAGCGTTCTTGAAAACCACTAACACACTCCCTGCCGTGGTGTTTAGGTGTGTGGTCCTTAGCTGTTAACCACAGATTTGACTTTGCTTACCTAGAAGATGCTGTTACAAGCGCTTACACCACCGCTCTCTGCCTCTCTCTTTCTTCCCCTCTCCCCTCCGTCTCCCTTATACTTATCAATTATTAAGGTCGGTATTGATCCTTTCACTACCCTGCCTCTATCTGGCTGTTCACACAAAGCCAAAACCTGCCTGCCCTCTCTCAATCAATGGCATCTCCAGGCTCTTTTTCCATATGTCAGTTTTGCTTTTCTCGCTTTTGCACTTAACATGGGCCGAATGAAGTTTTGTACATCCCAAATTAGTCCATTCAGAGTCTTCAGAAAATATGAGAAACAGCAGACTGCTATAAATCTTTCATGCCACAGGCAAGTTTGATGGGCATGAAAAGATGGGCGAGCAGGGAGAGTGTAAAATGGCTGTGTGCATTGTTTGACTCTATGAAACAGCTCTCGTTCATCCTCCAGTCCAGTCATGATTTTTTGTTTTGTTCTGTAGCGCATCTACTGAAGCCAAACAACCTGCCTGCCTGTTGCCAGGTTAACCAGGGGAAGGTAAGCGATATTATTGTCATAAGCTGCAGAGAGGGAGAGACAGAGAAAGAAAAACAGAGAGGGAGAGCACCAGGGAGTGGGAGAGAAGGGGGTTGGGAAGGGGAAACGGCCTTATTGATCTCCTATGTGCAAAGCCATGCAAACACTGAAAGGACAGAACTACACTATTAATGACACTCACAGCCTCAGCCACTAATCCTCAGCTATTTATCTACCCATCTTTCTATCTATCTATCTATCCATCTACAGTGTGTATCCATCCATCTATCTATCTATCTATCTATCTATCTATCTATCTATCTATCTATCTATCTATCTATCTATCTATCTATCTATCTATCTATCTATCTATCTATCTATCTATCTATCTATCTATCTATCTATCTATCTATCCATCTATCTATCTATCTATCTATCTACCTATCTATCTATCTATCTATCTATCTATCTATCTATCTATCCATCTATATATCTATCTATCTATCTATCTATCTTCTGTTATCAGAAAAATAACCAGTGTCAAAAAACAAAACAACTCATCTAATTCAACATTTTAAAACTATTCAACATTAAAAACGACAAGTGTATACTTTTTATAGGTGCTCGATTCTCTAATGTATTGATTCTGATAATCATAGTCACATACGGTGCCATACAAATGCAAAATGTGGCAGAATTACTATTAATGTTTTGCCTGTTGTTTTTCTGTCCTAAAAACTCTAGATGCTCCATAGGTTCTTATCTTTAGGCCTACTGGTCCCTGCTGTTAGCAATCCACATCTCAGCTGCAATCAATATTACATCAGAACATTTTGATATGGTTGTTTTGAAATATATATTGGGGTCACATGTAGGCAGTGTTGGAGATACATTTCTGATGTAAGGTTTTTTACATCTGTACGTGTTCTGGTAAGGGCAAAATATAATAAGTGTTTTACATTTTTCTTTTTAAATCCATTGAAATCATGTTGAAGTTCCTTCTCATCTGACTCCTCTGCTTGTCTCACACCAGCCATCATACCTGTCTATGATCTACATTTAGAGCTTTTACTACAGCGTGCTAAAGCCGGAGAGACCGTGTGGTTATTGCGACTTTCAGCTCTGATACGAGTATTGATCCTTGTGCCACATTTAAAAGGGAGAGTGGGAACTGGCTATTGATCAGGCAGCCTGGGGTCACCCCGCTTCTCCCGCGCAACTAGTTGTCCCAGTAACCCCAGCACCACCACCGCTGTGTGTTTATAGTCGGGCAGAGAGAGGGAGGGGAAAATGCGTCGGGGGAGGGCAACTATTTCGAGGTTTATTGTGAATCAATGGCGATTTGCTGTGTGCCGATCAAAAATATAGACCTGCAAATGTGGTCTACAACAGCCTGCGTAAACGAAATACCCACACCCAAAACAATCATTTAAAAGAGCTGTGATTTCTCGAATACTATAAAATAAGAAAACTATAGGCTATATTTGCTTATGATTTTAGCGTAAAGTGTTGATCTTAAACCGCTATGACTGCGCGCTTTGTTTTAGCCGGGTGAACCGTGGTGCTGAATGTTTTAGGCCAGTGCAAGTTCGTTCAGTGTGTATGTTAATACTTTGGTAAATAAAGGTGGAAGGTGACTGGGCTGTTTCTTCAGAATAATATATTTTCATGTGAAATAATAATACTGAAAGTAGAGTGTCTTACCGGCCAGCCGGAGAGCAGACATCCTTTGAAACTCGGGCTCCTGCAGCCACTTCCACATCCTCCTGAAGGTCTCCCGGCCTGACTTGAGCTTGCCCCAGGGTTTGGGGTTCCTCAGCAGGTCTGAGAGGGTTCCCTGCGACCGGCTCAAGATCCTCTGCGCGAATATGGCCTGCGGGATGGAGTATCGCTTTAACTCGGCCGTTATCCGCTGAGCCACTTCCTTCGTGTTAATTTCCTCCCCCTGCATGCCGGATCCTGATACTCCCTGCCCGGCTCCGTGGCCGTGCATCTCCCGGTCCCCAAGCATCACCGCGCCATTCGCCTGGGAGTGCAGGTGACTGTGCGGGTGATGGTGCATGCCGTTGAGGTTGGAGATCATACCGTGGCCGTGGCCCCCTAAACTCCTCGCCAGGTGCTCCTGGTCACTCCGGGACAGCATGGACGCGTGGGACTCAAACCCGGACACCGGAGAGAGCATCTTTGTTTCATTGGAGAGGTGCGCGCTCGGCCCGTAGGCTGACAGAGGCTGCTGGGAGTTGTGCAAAGAGCCCAGCCCGCTGGACAGAGGGGAGAGCGAGCCGTGACCCATGCCGGGCACGGACATCTCTTTGGGGTAGTGGCTGTAAATATTTCCCATGGAGGCGAGCCCCCGGTGGTCGTCCCGCATCAGCGTGAAACTTCCGCTTACGTTCCCGGCAGAGAGTCGCTGATGGGCGGCAGCGTGGTGGTGTGAGTGCGTGGGGTGAAATTTATCCGAGACGGTGGATATGGAAGGTAGATGCTGCAGGGGGGTGAGGGTGGTGTACGTGTTACTGAAGCTCATCCCGGTCTCGCACATGCTGATGGACGGGTGCAGGTGTCCGGACAGCGATGATGGGTCTGTCCGGTAGTCCCCGCCGGAGCCCTCCAGGAGCGAGGCCATGCCGGACACCATGGCTGACCGCGAGCCGGGACCGTGGGCGACCAGGTTCCGGGGATTGGAGCTCGGGGACGGCGACGGCCGAGCGTGCGGTGAGCTCATGAGGTCTCCCGCCTGGGAGTGCGATGAGAGGCTGTGGAGGTTCTCCATGGTGAGCTCCATATCTGAAAGGATATGTCCCACCCTCCCCACCCTCTCCCCCTGTCTCTCGCTCCTGCCTCTCACGCTCTTTCTTAGCCCTTAGCCCTCCTGGAGCGATAAACTGAGTACACCTTTGGAACGCCAATCCATCGATGAAGACTGTACGATCAACCCAGCGCGGTGCAGATAAATTCTGGTGTTCAGAAGAAGCTGCAGAACCGAGTCTCTCCGTGGTGCTCTATGCCTTCATGTGGGGCTCTCTCGGGCTGTATCTCATCTCTGGTCCAACAGCGCGGCCACTATGAGAGGCTGAGCTGCGCGTCAGGGAGCGCGCCTCTGTAGATTTAAAATATGGGGCGGGTAGGAGTTTCCTATATTCTGGGATAAAACTAACTGGGATTAAAAAGCATCCAGTGAAATCCGAATGCCTCACACTGGTTATCCTACACGTTCACATGATAGCGCTATAATTAAATATGTAGAAGTTTAAGTATTAGAAATAGTGCATCTGACTGTGTGTGGGCGTGTGCACGCGTACATAGCCTACCTGTTCACACTGATAGATTTTCAATCTAAATTGGGAAATTATTTTTGTCCCAGCAGCATTGTTGTCTAACATAACAAGTGAGTTAAAAATATAAAAGATAGAATAAGATACAAATGTTGTAAAAAAAAAGAAAGAAAAAAAGGTTAACAACAAATTAATGACAATAGAAAATACATCACTAAAGTATCTAAATAATACACAATATAAAGAAGAATGCTGAATAAATATAATAGGCTACCCTACAATATACAGTTTCACTAGGCAACATACATATTTAGAAGTATAGGCTACAGAAACATTTTGACAGTGGATTATATCAATTGTACAAAGTGACATGCAGAAAGACAGGTGATGGCAAGATGTGAAATATGTATAAAATACAGTCAGTATCAGTTTCCGGATACAGGAGTTCTTTACAGATAAACTTTGTTTTCCCACGGACTGTATGGTTTTGCATTTATGCGCTTAGTGATAAACCTGATCGAAGTATTGATTGACAGAGATTAATGACGTGGCGCAGGCCGGTGGGGGGAGGGTGGGGGGGGGGTGAAGGAGGTCACAAAGCGAGTTAGGATCCCAGCGCTGCAGACCAATGACAGGACAGCCCTTTGGTTTGTGCGAAGTTCACCAAGTCCAGAGACCAACTTCAGTGTCGTCTGCTTACAACAATAACCTCCATAATAAATAATATTATGGTAATCATATTTGTCCTTTGACACATTACAAATAGCCAGAACCCAAAGGAAAGGGAACTTTAGCTTAAGAACAAAAGTTTAGGTTTAGAATATATGATTTATAACAGTAAACGGGCTACTTTAACATTGGCCTAAATAAAGAAGCAAATAAAAAGCCAATATCCCCTTGACTTGAGAGGCAGATGGGTCACTGTGATTTTATGTTAAATCAATATGCTTCTTTATATGGTAGTGGAATGAAATGTAGGCCTAAATAACTTTTTAACAATGCTAGGCTATTTAATAATAATAGAACCTGAGGTTATATATTTGTTTAATGTCATGGTGTATTGTTTAATTCACAATTAATTGTATTTATTTTGCAGACAGTCGGATCTTCAGTGTGTTAGGTGTCTAATCTCTCTGCTCACTAAAATAAATGAATGAACCCTCGTCCCTCGGTGAGCTGGAGGAGCAGTAACCGGGCTCGGTGCCGCGGATTGATGCGAGGAGCTTCCGCTTCTTCACCCATGTGCTGCCGATATGCTGCTGCTGTCCGTTTCATCTGACTGTGTGTGTGTGTGTGTGTGTGTGTGTGTGTGTGTGTGTGTGTGTGTGTGTGTGTGTGTGTGTGTGTGTGTGTGTGTGTGTGTGTGTGTGTGTGTGTGTGTGTGTGTGTGTGCGTGTGTGTGTGCGTGTGTGTGTGTGTGTGTGTGTGTGTGTGTGTGTGTGTGTGTGTGTGTGTGTGTGTGTGTGTGTGTGTGTGTGCGCGCCTGCGTGTGTGTGTGTAAGCCGTGAAACAATTTAGAAAGGACATTTGCTTCTTTTTAAGCATTTCATGTTTTATTGTTCCTAATAATTTAAAAAATAAGACATTTCCCATTAACATGTATATATTTTTTCCATATTGCATATATTCACAGAAAGACAATGTTAGTATTCAGGTATGTGAGCTTCCAAAATAATGTTAAATAAAGCATGTATTGTAGTTGTTTTACAACTTATAAACAATGCTTAAGAATGAATGTATTGCTTGAACAAGTTTATTAAAATAATATTGGCTTGGTTAACTACATTCTAAAATGTGTTCTTAAAATAATAAACCTTGGTCTAAATCTAAAGGATTAAGGCTCATTTTTATAAGAGAATTAAATAACAGCGTAAACGCACTCGCGCACTCGGACACATGCACGCACACTTTGGTGAGCAAACGTGTGAGCTTCAGGAATCTTTTCCTGCAACCAAAAATAAACGTAAAATAAAAAAATGTTTGCCGAAGTTTCTAAATTCACCTTTTCTAATTGTTATTGCCAGATCTTCGGGAAATATGGCCTAGAAGAGTACGGTTTCACAAATAATTCCAACAAGAAAAGTGTTTAAATGAAACGTTCACCCACACTAACTGTTATTGCTGGATATCATAAAGCTCCGTGTGGTTAAGCTGTTTCCCCTAAAGTTCAGAAATGGATCGCCTCATTCGATAAATTGATCATCGATCACTTCCATCTCGCTCGGCGTTGTTTCCTAAACACAGAGGCATTTGTGTGAGATCGTTTCAGCGGTGAGGCGTTGTTGACCTGTAGCACATGAATGACTGGTATCAGGAATATGTTGGAAAAAAATAAATGTCAGCTGTGTTGTTTTATTATCTTATTGAGCAAAACGTGTGCTTCCTCCTCCTTTCAATACGGTTAATAATGATGTCCGTGTGGGCCTGTAATTTACCTTCGTGCAGGCGAGATGTTATTTCGATGAAGACAAAGAAAACTAAATATTCCTCTTATTTGTTCATTTATTTGTCGCCTGTATTTGTAACATCAATATGAGTGTGTTATTTGGGTTTAGCACCGAGCTGAACATCTTCCATCGTAGATATAGGCCTATCATTGTTTTCTGAGGAGGAGATCTTGTCATGTGTAAATGTGAAAAGTAAGATTTTACTTTTGAGGAGCATTACATAATTCAATATAAGAGTTAAAATAGTAATTTATTAATTTATTAATTTACTTTGGTTTAAAAAGGTCAACATATTGGTTGGGTGACAAGAAATGTTTTGTGTGCATCTTCCCTATAATTCACTATTCACCAATTTTGGGATTTCTAACGTAGCCTAATTATAATTGTTGTTACCCTGACAGCAACATTTTGTTTATTTTGCAGACAAATTAGCTTTTGGTCGTCAACATATGCTGTTGGGCACTGAATGCATCGTAGCACATCGCAGTTTATTTATGTGCAAATACAGTAAATTACAAAACGACTCCTTTGGTCACATAACATAATGGGGTCATTCTACAGAAAAGGTGGAAGTGCTGTCACTTACTTTTGCAGACACCAAAATACATGACGTTGACCTAATACTCACATTCATTATATATGTTGAATAAAAAGAGATTGTCTTTGCAATGGTACTAAATAAAAAATAAATAAAAAATGGTTTTATACGTAAATTGCAATTTATTTAAAAGGCCAAGTTCAAGGAACTGCCTTGTCACTTTGATCATACATGGAAGTGGAGCCTATAGTTTTAATTTAAAAGATTTTTTTTTCAATAAATACATCTAATTTATATTTACATAACATTACATACATTAAATATAGCACTGAAATGGTAAAAAAACCCGCAAATTATTATTAATAATATCAAATAAATGTCAGTCACCCAAAATTACGTCATTGGTGTTACTGCTACACAAAACGCTTTTATTTTTTAAATAATGTACTGTCTCTGAAGTGCCTCCTGTAACAAGAGATCATTTGAGGCAGTGCAGTGGAGACATAAGGAAAGTCAGATACTTCTTACTTTGTTTGTTAAAGGTGTCCTTTTATCTTCAAATTTTACATGCGTCTTTCAAGTCTGTCATTAGTGTTACTCATTGCATAGCCCTAGGGGTGAACATTGGAATGGGAAAATGTATTGTATTGAAGAGTTAAACGATTTTGATATTGACTGAAGCCACATTTGGTCTGACACATTGCAGCCATTTTGTTAAAATGGTAGTGTTTTCTCCAAATTGTCACTGGTGTTACCGTCACTGGTGTTACTCTTCTTCCTGGTAACACGTAACACCAGTGACATTCCTATACAAATAAGCTTTGTATAAAGTATACAAATCATTTAAAAAATAAAAATATTTTAAGCTCTACTTGTTGTGGATTCATCAAGTTAAGAGTTAGTTATTGCTATTTAACAGGTTTTAGATGTTTTTAGAAGGAATATATTTCAGCAGATTTGTATCACCCAGATTCCACCTTTTCTGAAGAATGACCCAATATTACATGTTTTGCAAAAGACTAACAAAATATATCGAGTTTGCTGTAAGGTGACAAAGATACATCTAAAAGGGGATAGTGATCCAAAAAACTAACTAAACATGTAGGCTGGAAAAAGAAAGTCCTGGACCTTCCACAGACACAATCTGCACACTGATGAAAGAGCTTTGAATAGTAAATCTGAAAAATAGTTGGTAAAAATAATGTATTCAAATATCTATACCTTTGGCCATGTCAACAATATTTGGTATTTTTCTCTGTAGATCCGAATCATCTGTTGTGGAAAATCAGAGTGATGTCTGTTACATTTTTTTAAATTTAAGTTAAAAAAGATATCTTAAATATTGCATACATTACTTGCAGGCAATATGAGATTATTTTCATGTATATGGGTAATAATCTGAAGTTTAAATGCATTCAGGTGAAATGCAATTATTTGACTAATTACAGCATGTGGGACGTGTTTCAATAAGAGGTACTCACCATAGGCTTGTAAAGCAATGAAGGCATCATTTAAAAAATACAATAAATT